GTCCGAAACACACAGAAAAAGAAAGTAAATTCCTAGACATTCTAATCCGTGGGTTGATGATTGTAATTCTAATTTAATAAGTGAACAATCGGAATAATAAGTCTTACACAAGATTCTTACGTTCCTAGTACGAGCTTGAGCAAAATAACAGCAACAATCGAAAACTTACAATCCACACAAAATGTCGAAAAATCACACGAACACACCTAAAATAAAACGTGAAACCAATTCGCCGGAACAACGTCGTCGGAGAATTATACAAAACACACATACAATCCAAAATAAAATAAAAGAAAGAGAAGAAAGGTGAACAATAAGAAAGAGTTTTTGTTGCTGAGTGCAGAAGAAGAAGAAAACTGTAGAAAAAATCAAAGAAAATCCGAATGCCTTCCAATCCAGCAGAGCAATGAATTTATACAGCGGACCAAATCTTTCAAGTGGAGCACAAAAGCCGGACCATATTATGCACTTGGCACGGCGCGAATTAAGTGCTGACGGCGCGAATTAACTGCGAATTAACTACTGACGGCTCGAGGCAGAAACTCTTGACGGCGAGAATTAACTGCGAATTAACTACTGGCGGCTCGAGGCAGAAACTCTTGATGGCGAGAATTAACTGCGAATTAACTACTGACGGCTCGAGGCAGAAACTCTTGACGGCGAGAACGCACAGGGCGTCGCGGCGCGATAATCCGCCGCGTCGCGGAGGAGGATGGTTTCTTTCCACGGCGTTACTGAGTGGTCCGTCGCTGCGCGAGGAGATCCCACGGCGAGAGGTGTCACGGTACGGAGCATTCCTCACGGCGCGAGGCGGCACTCCTCCACGGCGCGAGTCGTCACGGCGCGGAGCACGGCGCGAGCAGGTCACCCGTCACGGCGTGACGATGGCGTGAAGCTTATGTCCTTGGCCCATGCACGCATCACATTCCATTTTAAGTTCGTACAACTTCGTTTGTACTCGAAATCGAGTTTCGACTTTTCCATCACGTAACCAACTGCCTTTTATATCCAATAGTTATTCACCAACCCAAAATATTTTTCGAACAACTCCTCGTCGGATCCTCAGACCTACACACCAATAATTAAAACAATGCGGCAAATAGGAGAAAAATACCGAAAAACAAACAAAAGGCTCGAACTAAACTAAAAACACACAATAAAATACAAAACACACATTAATACTAAAAGTAATGACATAAAATGGGGAAAAAGAACGACGAAAATATAAGAAAATTGGACACAAAAATAGGACAAACAACTCCCCCACACTAAAACCTTTGTTCGTCCCGAACAAAAAGAGAATAAAAGAACAGAAACGAAAACAAGTAACTGAGCATGAATAAATAGTTTCAATCAAGACAAGTATCCAATTAACCAATTTAGTCGAGAAAACTTCCGATGACCAATATAGCATACCTCAGTTACACTCAAACGGTACGCTTTGAAAAGACAACTCTCAATCACTGAAGTATAATATACATGTCTCACTCAGTTTCTTGTCATAAATATGCAATGGGAACGCTCAAATTGATCGTCAATCGAGTGAATCATAAATTTGCCTCTTGACTAACTCTTACTCTAAAACAGTAAAATCTATAGGATACCGAATCAAGAGGACTTTAAGGGTTGTAACGTAGGCTTTTGGAATCGGGTAGGATAAATATGGCTAAGTGGCTACATAAATATCAAGTCAACTCCCTTCGCTCGCATGACCCCAAAATAAACTCTTCCGATTGTCCCAAATAACCATCTCTTCCCAAATTCTTACGAGTCCATACGCTACTCGCATTATTCGAATATATACACACATATTTTTCTTTGAACCCTTTGAATACTAACAATAATCCATTTGGTTCTTTTTTTATATATATATATATATGAATGAAAACCTTCGGTTATTGATTTCCCTCCGGTTTCATTATTTTTTTTTTTTCAAACAATCTATCCTCTATCATCTCCAATTCTCCTCCAATTCTCCGCCCGTAACTCCAACAATATCATCGTTGCGAGATTATAAAAGAAAGAACATAATAAGGCTCAACGGGGAAACTAGAGGAATTATTTCACAAAACGATAAAGGAAAGAAAATACAAACAACGCCTCAATCATATTCATCTCGCATAAATCCACCCGCTTCATTTCAGAGTAGCCTCAAGGCAAATTCCGACAAACAACAATTTCGACCAATATCTCACAAGAAAAATTAAGGCTCAAACCTCACTTTAGGTAAATAAATGTCTGACAAAACGACCAATCCAGTTCACCAAGATAAGCTAGTCATGATCATCATCATATCTTCTCAACTTTATCAACAATCATCAACCCATCTCAAAATCCACCAAGGAAAATGACTACTGCCGAGGTTGCCACCTGTACTGGTGCGACTCCCAGGTATCCCAGCGGTTGTCATGAGCTGT